TTTATGTTACTTCTGGCCAAGAGAACCTTCTTGTGCAGTAGTCGTAGGCTCTGATTCCGTCGTCGACCTTGACGCCCTTGCTCTCTTTGGGGAAGAGAGCGCAGTCGTCATCGGTAGAGAACCTTCTTGCAGTCGTCGCAGGCTTTGATTCCGTCATCAGCCCTGACACCCTTGCTCTCTCCGGCGAAGAGAGCGCAGTCGTCGTCAGCTCAGATGCCGTTGCTCGTTCCGGAGAGTAAAACGTCCTTGCAATCGTGGGCGGCTCTGATGCCGTTGGTCGATCTTGAAGAAGTTTTTGTTGTCGAAGGGTACTACACTCTTCTGTTCTGTTTGTTTAATGAGAAAATGTTTGTTTCATGAGTGTTTTTACTTTTTAATTTACTTTTTATGTTATATATAAATTCAACTCTCTCTATATATATATGTATATATATAAATTCACAAACAGATATTAATCTTCTCGTGTGGAGTCTTGGTACATTTTTTTGTTGATAAAGTTGAGCATGACAATTTTTTATTTATTTATTTATTTATTAATATAGATATATATATTTTTTTGTAGTGATAACGGATTTCTATAAAAAAAAATATATAAAGAAAAAAGAAGAAGAGAATGAATCATTGCAGCACCAACATACCTGAAAAGATCAACAACTCAATAAGCATTTGAATAGTGTCTTTAATAACTTAAATTAATAGAAGTATATTTCTACTAATAGAATCAAATAAAAAAAGACAATAGCTTTTAAGAGGAAACTGGTTGATGGATCACATTAGTTTTAAAACGGGCCAAGACGGGCCTGTCCTATTCGTTGGATGCTTTTTCTTGATTGATGAATTTTTTGAAAATGGTGATTTAACTCATTGGAGGGATGACCCGTGAATGAGCAAGGACCGCCTTGCAAGGCTAAATACTTCTGGGTGACCGATAACTACATGCAAAAATTGTATGCAACTTTTTGTAGTTATATATATTCAATAGATTTAATTCCCTTTTTTTTTTTAATTTAAAAAGAATAAAGTAATTCAATGAATTCCATAGTGTTGGAAGCGGCTTGCCATGAACTACCTCACACCCTGCTTCCACTAGCAGATTCTCAAGTAGAATTAGTAAATTGGTCAAAAGAAGAGATAAGGTACTGAGTGGTGAATTGTTCTAATTTTTTTTTTATTAATTACTCAAATAGGATTTTTCATGCCTTATTCATTCAATTGTCAAAAAAAAACATTATTAATTAATTAAAATTGAATTAAACAACAGTTGATTTTGGTTTGGCTCACCCCATTGAGAAATTCTAAATCCACCCTTGGGCTAGGGGAAGTAAGCTGCTCACTTCCGCAAAGCAGTGAAGTTGCTTCTCGACAATAATTTATGGTAAAAAGGATGAACGTTTTTGGAGTTGCTAACAAGTTGTTCAGGTCTCGCATCATAAATGTTTATTTATTATTTTACTTAAATAAATAAATAAAATTATATTATAATGTTTTATTTAAAATGTAAAAGGTATCGTCGAAGAAGAGTGATATGTACCTCTATTTAAATTTAAAAAGCGAGTGTGAAACACAAATTCAGTTTGCAATACTACCGGAACCAATTACTGTTATGTTTACCTAACCAATTGTTATATCCGTCAACCAAAATGATCGTTAGGTCCCCCGCAACTAATTCGTTAAAAAAAAAAAAAAATTAGAAAACGGTTTACAAACGTACATGAATAAAACTGTTTTATTTTCACAAAACATCAATGGTTATATGTAACATATATATTTTAAGTGTGACATGTAATGCACCAATGTCATCTTTGAAATTATATTTCAATTTTACACTTTTTACATCATAGTAAAAAAAAATATGTTTGGCGAAAATTTGAGGCCGACTTTAAACGCATCAGGAGAAAAGATAGTGTCACATGACAATGGTCAAAGAACCTCCGTCTTAATTGGTTGAACTCAAATTGAAAAATGAGATTTTTTCTATTTATATTTTAATTTTTTTTTTAAGAAATACCTATTTATTATGTAACAATTTTAACTCTCTCTACCTTTTACTTTATTAGGGGAAAAAGTATCACTAGAGTTAATATTTAATAAATTTGATAAAAAGTAATATGGGGGTAAATTAAGTTTACAAAGTTTACCATTATACTAACTTTAAAAACAATAATAAAAAATTGTAGTCAATTTTTGTAAGAGCATGTTTTTACTTATCTTTACTCTTGTGTTTTTTGTTTTAATGAATATTTGGAATGAGTGTGCTTCAAAATAATTATGTCTTTTTCTTTATATAAAAAATATTAAAATGAGAGTATAACGGTGTGATGTAAGTATATATTATTTCTCAGTCTGATAAATTATTTAAAGTAAAATGATATGAGAATCGAACCAAACGCCATAATAGAGGCCGAATCTAATGTGACTTGTTCACGTCAAGTTATTTTTTAAAAACGTGTCACGCGTGAAATGTTGTTTCTTTGAATTTTGTATTCATGCAAATTAAAGAAAATTATTAGAAGATTCATTGTTTCTCTGTTCTTTTGGTTAGGTTTTTTTTTTTTTTTTTTTTTAAATAAACAAATTGGTTTTCTTTTCAAGTATATTTTTATTCTATAAGTGAAAAAATCATGACCACCAAATTTGAAGAGAGGAAAGGTGAGAAGAATTGATGAAACAGACGAACATCGAATAGTCCAGATCGAGAAGAGGAAACAAAGAGATAGAGAGAGAAAGGGGAAGTGTGGAGAGAAAGTAGAAAAGATAATAAAAAATTATTTCACGCGTAATGAGTTTGAGTTTGGTGTATTTTTGGTAGAAAGTTTTGGATACTTCCAATGCTTCGAGAATTGCAGAAGAATGGGATATTCCTATTACTATAATTCGCTCACCTCCTCTAACACCAGAACCACCGGATCAGGCATTGTGAAGGCAACTTTGATGGAGTTATACTCCTTCTCACCGGAATTTGGGTTAATCAATAACGGTCTACCATTTGAAACTTTGGACTCAAGTCCACTCTGGGCTTATTGTTGGGATTTATATGCCCTGGCATAGCAAATTTCTATCTGGATAATAGTGACATATGTTCCTGATGTTTCTGAAATATTTATGCTTTATATAATTGATGAATTCAATGTATTATATTTCGATTCATTATAGAATTGATAGTGTCCACTTGATTACAAGATATATTTATATATGTATGTGATGGCGATCAATATATGAATATAAATAGTAATCATAAATTGTTCATAGTCGGTAATTATGGATGGACTCATAATTAATTAAGACTTGAATTGGATCCGCGTTAGGTTGAGATATATTGCGAGAACCACCGTATGCAATTGCTCCCTATCACTGTCATGGCATTTGACTCTTAAGTATGAGAAAAATATAAATTCTTTTATTAATTAATAATTACTTTGATTTGTTCGGCTGATAATTCGGGATCCTTAGACCGACACTTTGGGTAGTTATATAATTAATAGTTAGAGAGTTATATTTTCAATATTTGCATCATTACTACTTGTATTTATTTTGTATTGATTATGGTTGATCACAAAGTAAATTCGAAAACCTTCGTATGTTTTTAGACAAAACGATTTATTATATATTTATTTATTTAAATTATTATTTTTGTCAAACAAATGTTTTATTGTGATCGAGTCAAAAATAATCAATGGTATCAAAATAAATATATTAATTAAGTAGTCGGATTGATGGCTTTATTTATCCGATAACTAATTATGTATAGAGGGATCAAAGTGTAATATTGACTTAGAGGTTATTTATTATTTAATTGGAGTTCAATTAATTTCTTTTAATGGAGTAGAAATTAATTTATGAATTAATTGAATTGGGTCCATGAATCGGGCCAATTATTAATTTATTGTAGCCAATAAAATAATAGACCCAATAGATTCTCATTCATAGCCCAACTTGATATTGGAATCATATTAGATTTGAGACATGTGAATTAGAGATTGAGAAGGATTTGTTATTTCCTTTTCTTTATCTTTATGTTGCTTATAAATATACATGGTCTATGTATATTTCAGGGGTGATTTTTGGAAGAAGGAAAAATGAATCTATTTTCTCTCTCTAGAAAATTAGGGTTTATGTTATCATCTAATGGAGGCTCCCATAAGCCTAGTTTTCCAAGGTCATTCATGGAGGCATATGAGTGATTCCTAAAGGCAAAACAATTACCAAGAAGATGAAGATCCAAGGAGAAGACATGTTGTTAAGGGATCTACAATAAGTGAGAACATTCACTTTAGAGAAAAGATTTAAAGATTTACTCAAACTTTTGATGTAAGTATTCAATCCGTTAATTAAATGATACATCATATTTTATTTTTGCATAAAACTTGTCTATGTGTGATGAATCAAAATCTATGTATTAAAATCCCTCGAAAAGTTTTTAAAACTTGCACATTTCCCAACACTTATACCGTGAGCTGATTTATATAATGATTAGCTATAAATGTATGTTTTGGGGGGGTGGGGGGCTAGCCCATTCACCGTCTGGTTAGCCATTGCTAGCCTTGTACTCATCAAATTCAACTTTCCTAGCCCATTCACCCTCTGGTTAGCCATTGCTAGCCTTGTACTCATCAAATTCAACTTTCAAAAAAAAAAAAGAAAAAATTTGGTTTCTCTATTACGGCTCTTATTTGAATATTGTGAGGACACAACTTTATAATTTTGAGAAACTATCTTATTTTATTAAACTAAAATAAAAAGAAGATTGAGTGAGAACAGCTTATTATGGCTCCATGCTTCACTGAGAGAGAGACAATAACTATAAGAACCTTCAGCCAATTGAAAAGAAAACAAAAATGCAAACAATTCAACAGTTTTTTTTCATTATACAACCAGATATGCATCAAGAAAATTGCACTAATGCATTCATTCAGCACCACATTCATTGAAAATTAAACAACAATATCGTATAATTAAAACATCCACATATTTTGCCAACCATGCACAAGTTAAGTCTCTTCTTAAGGTTTCCGGAGAGCGAAAGCAGAAAGCACAATTATAAACATGATCATGGTTGCTGCAACGAAGGAAGCCACCACGGCGCCACTGGCAGCCTGGCAGAAGTCCGTAAACTGCTGACAAATGGCATTCCAGTTCGTGTTTGGGTTCCCGTTATGAGCCAAGTACACAATGGCTGCTGCAGCTGAAGCTCCAGCTGTGGTGAGAGCTAACGCGACCTGCAATGTTCAAACAATATATATATATATATATATATATATATATATATATATACACACACACACACACACACGCACATATCCATGAGAATGGAATTAATTATGTTGGTCTTAGTTTAGTTTCAAAGTGCTTACAGTGTCAAAGATGAGGAGAAGCAGCCTTGGTCGTACTGCGTGTGGACGAACTATGCACACTATAGAGAACGGCAATGAGAGGACAAGGTACCCACTTGCTAGCGCATTCGCAAACACAAAAAACCTGCATAGATAGGGCCACGTGGGTGTATTAGTTTGTTGTCAATATATATATATACACACACTTATATGTGTATATATATAAGAAAGAAAACAAAAATTAAGATGATAATTTCATTACAAAATGATGAGATTAACTAAAAAAAAATGGTAACTAACTAACTAATAAGAAATCAATCAGTTGGTCCAATAGTATAACTTTCCCTCCATCAACTATGAGGTACTTTTCAAGTTTCCAATAGTATAACTTTCACTCCTTCAACTAAGAGGTGAGGAGAGTTTTCAATAGTATAACTTTCCCTCCTTCAACTAAGAGGTGAGCAGTTCTAGCTTTGTAATAGACAATTTGTGAGATGTGTTACCCATGTTAAAAACACCAAAAGAATATAACGGATATATATTAATAAGACGGACATCACCTGGAACTAACATGAATAATGGTATAACCTATAAGCAAAGGGGTTGGTCTAGTGGAAAAGACTTGGGCCTGAAATTAGCCTCATAAAGTTTCATGTCTTAAGTTCGATTCCTCTTTTAAATGCGAGTAATTTTTTTGAGCCACGATCGCGGACATGGTTTGAATCTTACCCGATCCGCATTGAGGAATGGATCCGTGAATTAATCAGGGCAAAATTTCTGACACCCCGTTATCGAAAAAAATAAAAATAAAAAACTAAAAAGTAGAACATAAAGTAAAATGATGGCATACAGGAAGGGTGGGAGGTCATCATAGCTAGCGTGGAACTGGAAGAACTGTGTGAAGAAGGGAAGAGTTTGCTCAGTAGTCCCCATAGAAGCAGTGGCACCTAAAGCAGCAGCAATGGCAGCAAGCCTCAAAATGAAGTCGAAAATGGCGACGCCTTTCTTCCATCCTCCTCGAGGGTGTAGGGCAGCTTTCGTGGTGGCCACGATTGTTGTCGCAGGAGCAGTACCAGCGGCTTTTCCTTTGGTGGATTTTGACTCCGTAATGTTTATAGCAGTTTCGCGGCTGCTCTTTGATGACTCCATATATGGGATTGACTGTAGCAGAGAGAGAGAGAGAGAGAGAGAGACAGATGATGTGAATGGGAGGACTGTTCTTGAAAAAGACTGAGACCTTGCTATATGGATAACCCTGATGAGGTGAGAGCTATATAAGAGGCTGCCTAGCTGATGGAGTAGTTCTAATTGTACATTGGATGATGGGAAGTTAGGTGCTTGTATATCACAACATAGAGGAGTTGTTGCCAACTTGCTCCACTTAAAAATAAATAAAAAAAAAGACTGAAATTTTTGCAACTTGATTTGGAAATATATATATATATTTTTTGATAATTTTGTAGTTGGCAACTAAAAATTGTCGAAACCTAAGTCACAAAATCTTTCTCAGCAGGTATCGTTCGTTCAAATTCTCACTACCTACTTATGACTTAATTATGTCGCTCTCATGTTCCCGCTCTCGAATTCACTCTCGTTTCGACTCTCGCTTTATGTGACTTAGATCATAATATTTACATTAATACCTTTTTTTTTTTTTTTTTTTGTCAGACTTCCTGACCTCATCTCTTAAATCTTAATTAAATGAACCCAACTACTCACAAATAAATAAATAAAAGAAGTGGGGAAAAGGGAAAATTGAGAGATTCAAAGCGTTATGGTTCTAGTAAATTTTACCATTTTAATTAAACTTCCCTAGAATATCAGCAAGTTATAAACTACCTACTCAAGTAAGAAAAACAGTCTTCGATCACCACATTTAGTTCATTGGACACTTTCACTAAGGGATGCATTTAGTAACGTTTTCGTTTTCTGCTTTTGCAATCTCAATAAAGTTGAAACCTAATTTTGTTTTCTTTAGTGACAATAAAAAACCAAAATGATGTTTATTAACACTTGTTGTTATCACAATTTTGAAAGCATAAAATAATAACAGTGTTTAATAATATATATTTGTTACAGATTTACATAACATTTTTTATTATTTTATTTTAATTTTAATTTTTTTCATTTGTAATTCAATTATTTCACAAATATTAAAAATATCCAATACAGGATAATAAAATATAATATTCAATTTAAAATCACAAATCCTAATAATACCCAATGCATCATCTATAAATTTATTAAAAATATGTAATATATGATAAAATATATTATATTATAATAAATAATAAATACTCCGTAATATAACTATAATATAGATATGGTATATAATAATATATTATATCTGTTGCATAATAATTTAATAATATTATATAAAGTAAATAATAAATCATAATTTTTGTTTGTCCCAAAAAATAATTTACACTATTATATAATATATTATATTTTAAAAATATATGTTTGTTAAATAAAAAATAATTTACACTAATATATAATATAAATATAATTATATATTAAAAATATATTTTTATTAATATTTAATATGTAGCATTAGTATATAATATGAATAACATACATTTTATTTTTATTTGAAATGAACAGTATATATGTAATAATAATATAATAATAATAGTGAAAATGTTTTTGTTCAACGGTGTCGAAACATCTTTTTTATGTTTTCTCCTTTCTTCACAAAAATGAAAAACATTTTCTGTTGCAGAAAAATAAAAACATATTATTAAACATGTTTTTTGTTTTGTCTTTTTAACTTAGGGGCTAATAACATAAAGCTGAAAACGTTTCCGATTATTAAACGCGGCCTAAAGTGGAGCACCCACAAGAAGAAATTCCATGAGTTTTTTTCTTTCAAACTTATTACTTTTAGAGTAATCAGACTATAGATCCAACAGAGTAGTATCACTTGAGAGGAGTAATTGATAGTATAATTTATAAAATAAATAAATAAATAAGAAAAAATTCTCAATGTAGATATCACAAATGTGATCGCTACCAGGTGTGTCTTCTCCAATTTACACTATTACCATTTATACACACTCCACCACATGGTATGATACTATCTGCATGTTTGCTGACTAAATATCAAATATTTAATTATTAATTCAATCATTTATTCGTGTTAATTTATTCATTTATTTGTTTACTTTATTTAATCATACTATCCTCCTATTCTTAATGTAGGGTGAGTCTCGCGGTGAATCACAGACAGAAAGGGTTGAATTTTATAGAGTGGTAGTTTTCAGAATATGATTTTCTGAGTACACCACCACATTTCACTATGCAACTCAAAGAGTACAAACTTACCTAGCTACATCAAATTCCAACTCTAACTACAACCTCTACCCAGTAAAATCACCTCCAAATTAAACAACTTTTTAGCTAGCTAGCCCTTCGCTTCACTCAATGCCATTGAACCCCATGATCTGTTTGTTCGTCTTCATAGTGTACTTGATGAATCCACAATCCCAACTTAAACTTCTACAGATCATACTACTAGCTCGTTGAATGTTGCTCTAATTTTGTTGATATTAATGAACAATCAAATATCTCAAAAATTAAAAATTATCAAAATCACAAATTTCCATAAAATAAATTTAGAAAAGTCCAAGCAAAGTTTTGCTGCATGTGTTTGATTACCTAAAAGAAGGAAAAGGTATATATATATATATATATATAGATATATATTTGTGTTGTGTTCTCTCAGAAATTTGTTGTTCCTGGCTATTCACAAATTAGTAATTGTCCTTTTGAATTTTGTTGGCTTTACTTTTGCTCAACTCTGAGTCCTGGATCATGTCATATTGTCAATAAATTTATTGAGGGGAAACCGAGTTTTGTTAAACTCCAAATTTTACTAGATTCAATTTTTTTTTATTATTAAAAAAAATAAACTCAAATTTTCTCATCAACCACATCTGGTAGGAATGAACTCTAAAACTCTTACTTGAAATTGTAGATAGAAAGATCATGGTGATTATTATTTATGGTTTGGTAATTGGAATGAAAAGGGAACTAGTTGGCTTCAAATTGATGTTCAAGTAAGAGAAAACAGAGGAAAAGTAGGTGGTGAAAATGAGTACGGAGTACCCAATACATAACCCAAAACTACTGAATTACTACCCCTGGAGGAATAAATGTTTTCACCAATCACAGCACACCATGTGTTTGACAAAAACAAGAAAGACCCAACATTTGAATGACCAGCCCAGAAACCCAATGTTGGCAGTCAAGAGCCCATCAAAGAAAGCATCAAACTTCAAGCCGGCCCAAACAAAGGAAACAGAGCCCAGCCCAAGTTCACTCAAGCACTCCAATAACGCCTGTCATGGATGGAGATCGCAAAGAATCAGGGGCCATGATTGCCCACATAAAAAACTACTAGTAACATTTAAACCTATGCAATCACAATAGCCAATTGGTGTTCCAGAAAGATAACACCAACTCCCTAAATAGATCCATCTAATATTCAAATAAAGAATCATATCCACTCTCACTCTTAAACCTTTCTTCGGAGCTTATTGTTACAAATGACATTATCACATTTACCCTCCCTATCTTTCCTATACAAATATCTACAATGTATTCTACAATATTTCCCACTCTTCTAGGATAATCTCTAACTCTACAAATGTCTACAAGCGCCTTCAATTTCTAACTCTCTACAATACTCGAGCATTCTTTACATTAATACAAAAGATTCTTAAACTTTATTCTCTTCATACCATGCAGAGTCGTTATCAATTCAGTCACTTGCATGGTGCAACCTCTCTACACTTAAAGTTTAGCGTGACATTATATGTGAGATATAATATTGTATATTGGCAAATTCCAGTGTCAAAACAAGTTCGATTTAATTATAATTTTTGGTTTGATTTTGATTGAAAATATGAATCGTGTCTACACTTTAAAACACTTTGTTTCAACGAGAACAACACACTAATAATAATAAGGCTTGTATGTGTACTTGTGAGTTTGAGGGTACATGCATTTAAAAAAAATTCAGTATGTGTTTTCATAAATTGCATTCTGCCTCTGCGTAACCGGTTGCTGCAAATGGAACCGATTGCGCTTTGAAAATTTCAAATATGTTCTTCAACCATTATCTATGTTGGTATTTTGAATTAAAATTGCCAAAGGGTTGCATTGCACTTAAAAGGTGCGATAAAGGGTTGTGAGAGGAAGAGGTGCAACCCAAACTTATGTCTGTTCAAAGTGAATACCCACACCCAAAGTGAATAGGTGTGTGAAGGGTAGTTTAAATTAAATTTTGTAGAAGGGATGCGAGTAAAAGGACACGTCCATTAACCAAGGGGTACCAATTTTTCTATAAATACCCACCCTTGGTTGCCATGGTCAAGTGGTCTGAGCCACTTAGGCCCAAAACCAATTTCATTGAGCCATATTAAATTTGGTCTGAGCCATTTGGTTCGGATTGCACCCAATTCATTATTTATATAGTATACATGCATTTTTGAGTCAGAGAGAGTATTACACGAAGGAGGTTCGCTATATCCACGAGTTTGTAGTGCTGCTACTAGTGGATGTAAACCGTTGTATCCTGGGAGATAGACGCCAATGAGTCTGTTAGCACCATAGCGGGGCGAATCTGTCTTAAGGACATAGTATCCAATACTAGCCTCGGTCCAAGTTTATTCCTTTTATATTATTATTATTTTCTTGCTTTATTTTGCATATTTAATTAAATATAGAGTTGCATATTTAATTAATAATTTCTTAGTATATTGTTAATTATCACATGACATATTAGTATAAACATTTTGTTATATCTTAAATGTCACATGAAGCATATATTTTTTACCAACAATCTTAAGACAGATACATTCCTTGCGTAGATTTTATTATATGCTTCTATTTAAGATATAAATAAGTAGATATTATACTAATAGTTGAGATATAATAAAATAATATTTTATACATTATTATATGATAATATGCTAAATATTGATGTGTTCAATATTATATGAAATTGAAGCATGTTATATAAGTAGACTATTGAATTATTTATATAATTCAATATTGGTTGAATTATTTTAATTTTGTAATATGATATTATGAAGTATATGACATTATCTTAAACATGTGCCAACTAGAAGTGAAAAAAGGTACTT